CTGGTACTTCTCACTGGACTCCAGGATCCGGGTTCCTTTCTTCCACTCCACTTGGACCCCAGGTTTGGAGAGCTCACAGCTCAGTACAATACTGGCTCCCTCTTCAGCCTCCTGGTTCTTCAACTTTTGTGCAAAGGTYGGTGGCAACGCTGCATCGGCAAGTTTTTCTTATTACTCACCAAAATTAGCCAGAATAAATGATTTTCCAAAAGACTTTAAAATGAATAATCCAAGCAATTTAAATGCAGCTCTTGTAGAAAATGTGACAATCTTTTACAAAACACAGGAAACAAATGGCAATACTGATCCATACCATTCACTTTCAAGGTAGCAGATGTTTTCTGGTCCCCACATGTACAAGAATACTCTCCACCATCTTCAACCTTCAGATTTAAAATTTGAAGTGTACAAGATGTGCCTTTCTGCTTCATATCATATTTGTCTCCCGGTTTGAGGATCTCAAAGCCTTTCATCCACTGGACTTCAGCTGGTCTTGATACCTCACAGCAAAGTGTCACTGTGTCCCCTTCATTCCTGCTCTGGTTTTTGAGCTTCTCACTGAAACTGGCTGGCAGGACTAAAGTAACACAAACATCGGCTTAAACATATGAAAGTCGTTTCCTGAGATGGTCTTGGTTGGTAAAAATGAAACATTAATGATGATAATGATGAGTAGAATTAACATGGTCCAGTTGTATGGTGATAACTTTAAAAGTTTTTCTAAAACGGGGTTATCTTTTTCATTACTGTGCTACACAGAGAAATGCCTTTTCAAATGTGCAGGCAAGAAAATGYATGTGGGTGCAGATCTCCTTGAAAAACTACATCGCACAAATGGTTGTTCACAGTTTCTGCCAGCAAAAACACTCATTCACACATATCCTGAGACAAACAAATTGCACCGAACAAAACAGCGAAGCACTCGGTAAAAAAATTGAAAAATAAATATGCAAAAGCAAACACAAACAATAGCAAATGTAGGTGTAAACTTGAGATTTTCAGTTTTATCCTCATACATGCCTAATTCCTCACCTTTAATGGTCACCTTTGCTACACTTTTGGCAGTACCCACATCACATGTGTAGATATCTGTATCTTTCTCCTCAAGGTGTTTGATGGTCAGAGTTAGGACCCTCTCCTTCTGGGATATCTCATATCGACCTCCAGCCTTGAGCTCTGTGTGGCCTTTCAGCCACGCCACTGTGGATGGCGTTTGGGCTGTTTCACACTGTAAGGTCACAGAGCTCTTCTCGTCTGCTTGAACATCCTCAAGCACTCTGCTAAATTTGTGGATTGGTTCTGTCAGGAAGACAATCAAGATTATGTTACAACTTTTCTTACAGCAAGACAGAAACTTACACAACCCTACCAGAAGCTCTTAGTTGGTCAAAAATGTAAACAGCAGTGCAGGAAATACATTTTCAAGTATGTTTACCTTTTATTTCTAGCCTAGCTTTAGTAGTTGCACCTCCAATAACTTCACAACTGTACTCTCCAGAGTCTTCAGCAGATACGCTATGAATGTTCAGCTTCATGATCTTCTCTTGCTGGCTGATCTCATACTTCTGGCTTTTCTTGATGGATTTGCCATCCTTGGCCCACTTGACTTTAGAACTAGACTGTGTCACCTCACAGGTGAAAACAGCATCTTCGCCTTGAACTACAGAAATATTTTGAAGTCCTTTGGATAAAGATGAAGCTTTTCCTAAAAGAAAGGACAATGGAATCTTTAATTTGAGACTTCTATTCTTGGTCTCAAGGCCTCTTGAGTAGTACTGAAGACCAGTGGGGGACATCATGAGGAGGTCCAACAACAGACATTCAAAGGTTCATTTATGACTTACCTTCAACTTTTAATGTGGCTTTGGAGCACAGCTCTTTGATGCTAAAGACCACCTCACCAGCATCAGCTGTGGTGACATCCTTTATTGTCAGCATGTACTTGCGTCCTTGACTTGTGATCTTARTGCGGCCTCCGTTTCTAACAGTTTGCCCGTTAACGGTCCACGAGCACTCATCTGTGCTCTCACGAGACAGAATGCACTCAAAGCTGCACGTGTCTCCTTCATTCACTTCAGCTGATTTCAGCCACTTTGTAATAGCAACACCAATTTCTACAACAGAAAACGTAGGAATTATTAACCTGCGTGTCCAAAAAAAATTCATATTCTTCTTAAACTATAAAAATACCCACCTCTTACAGTGACCTTTGACTTTGAAACCTCTGTGCCGAGATCACAGCTGTACTCTCCAGCATCCTCTTTGGTGACGTCCTTGATGATCAGTCCTAAAGACTTGCCTGAATGAAGGAGCTCATATTTTGTTCCTGCTTTTAAGATTTTACCATCTTTTCTCCAAACTGGAGACACCCTTGGCTTGGATGCCTCACACGCCAAAGTTATCAAGCCCTTCTCCTCGCCGATGACATCATCAAGTGACTTGAGGAACACTGCACGTTTCTCTGTAAGGCAGTTGAGAATGTTATGGACGACTGAGCAAGATGAGCTATTCTTATATGTAAATGAGTTCAGTCTAATTGAAAACATTAGCGTTTAAACTAATTGTAAAATTATTTGTGGTATTTGGAGGCAAATTATTTCAAGTAACCATGGATTCTGAGTTCCATCATCACATTAAAACTGTACCAGTCAATACAGTGAAAACAATCCCTCACCTTTAACCTTGAGCGTGGCAGACTCTTTCACTTTGCGGACTTGAAACACGATGGTTCCGCCATCTTGGGGAGCTAAATTTTTTAGTGTGAGCTTGTGGACCTTTCCTTCATGTGTGATGGTGTTGACTTCGTTACTGAAGAGCACCTTGTCATTCAGAAGCCACTGTGCTTCTTCATCTGCGTAGTTGATCTCACATGTGAAGACTGCATCGCTGTCTTCATCAACTTCGGTGTCGACTAGATGCTTGGTGATCTTAATTTCACGGACTAAATAGAAACAAAATGACAATAATTTGAAGAAAATTTATAAGATGCTAAATTAGGTGAGGACTTMTTTCAACATAATAATTATGCAATGTGATCACTTTAGTGGTGAAAAAAACTACTATTGTACCTTCAACAGTAAGAGTGCCTTTAGTCTCAGCTGGTCCTGACTGACAGCGATATTCTCCACTATCTTCTTCGGTCAATCTTTGAATCGTAATTTGGGCCCTTGTGGCATCTTGCTTTATGTTGTACTTATCTGACGCTGTCAGACGTGCCTGACCTTTGAACCAATTAACCTCTTTGGGTGCTGCAGAAAATTTGCAAGAGAGTATTGCAGCACTCTTCTCCTTTGCTTTCACGTCTTTAATGGGCTCTGCAATCTCAAGTGGGCGCTCTAAATACACAAAATGATAAATAGTTAGACACAGTAGCATCATACAACCATTTAATATCCCTGTTAAAATGCTTCTCCCCAACTATTGTGTAAACGTGCAATTTAAAAGCATTTACCTTTAACAGTGAGCTGAGCTAAAGATTTGCTCTTCCCAGCAGTAAACTGCACAGGTCCTGTCATCGATGCTTTGGTCTTTTTGAAAGTGAGACGATGCAGAGTGCCTTCTTTCTCCATCTCAACATCAGTACCCTCTTGCACAGCAACTCCATTCAGAGTCCATACAGGGGGTCTCACCAGTTCCATGCTAATTTCAACTTCAAACACAGCTGCAAAGGGTTCTGTCACCTCCACAGAGCTGAGTTCCCGCACAATATTTATGGACTGCTCTGTAGGGACCATAAAACATTCAAAGTTTAGTGATGGTCAGTATCAAGACTTCGCAGTAAAAGTAATGACACATTTTTATATTAACAGTAGAACTATTAAAACATACAAAAATCCTGCAAAAAGCATAGAATATTTGATTGAGGATTTACTGTATGTCAGGGCTATTCAACTAAATTGCTTATAAGACAGTAGTCACCCAGGGGCTGGATGTCCACCAGTTCAATAGCCCTGATTTTTGTGTACTGGTAAGAAAAAGAAGATTGCATGTTTTTATTCATTAGAAAATGAATAAAATTTGATATGAGAGTTTAATACGCATAACTAGTTAGTTTACCTACAAGAACATTTTGGTTTAGTCATTTAGTTTTTAAGTGAAAAACTTAAATTCATATTAGTAATTTAGTGCTTGCTACAAAAAGACCAATACAAAAATTAATGTTTCCGTATAACCCATTAATAGATTAGTTTTTCACATCAATAATCAAATCAGTGCTTCATTGACTTTGATAGCTTGTTTTATGGGTCTAATGTACCTATTTATACAAACACTGTGGTTTACATTTGATCTTCAGCATCTTCCATTGTATTACCTTCCACAAGCAGTTTGCATGAAGTCTTGTCATCAGTAGCGTCGCAGGTATACGTRTCTTCATCTCCACAGTCCACATCGTTGATGGTGAGCTTTCGGTACACGTCTTCGCTTTTAATCTCGTACTTTTTGCTCGGTTTGATTTCCGTCTTGTTTTTGAACCACTTCACCTTTGCACTGGCTCGTGAAACTTGGCATTCAAGATGAACACGGTGCTTATACATTGCGATCTTATCCCTGAGTTTCTTCACAAACTGGACAGGCAGCTCTACAGCAACAATAACACTGAGTGAATAAAAATGATCCAATTCTGCAAAGGCCAGGAATTGTCTATTTTACATCAGATCCCAAGCAAATAAGGCAAAATTGGTAAAATTTACTTTAACTCAAACTGCCTCAAAATCGAATCAATAATCATGTGGAAACAAAAAAGCAAAATTTATATTCTTATTGCATTGTTTACCTACATTAAATCAAAAAAGCAAGTTATGACAAAATCCCTGATATAATTCCGTAACTTTAAATTTTGTTGTGTTTGAGGTGTGAACATCTGCTATCAGGCCTCAATGAGAAAAATATCACTGCAAGTTGTAATTATTTTCTATCGTATCACACCCAATGCTGTCAGAACGATGCATATTGTTGGAAAAAAAAAATTAATTACAGTTTAAGATTGAAATGAAACCATTCAGGTTGCACTGACTTGTTGCAACGGTGCAATACATTTGATGGTAATCTATGTGCAACCAAGTTTAACATTAGAACACAGTTGTTACTGATTCCATGCAGCAATGCATTAAGTGTAAAATGTGATACAATTTTCAGCACGTAACAAAAAAAAACTGCTTACCTTTAACTTTGAGTTTTGCTGTTGAAGAAGCTTTCTCAGCTGTAAATTTAATCTCACCYGCATCTTCAGGAGTTACGGACTTAAACAACAGTACAAATGTTTTGCCTGAAACAAAATGCAGAAAGTTATTAATGAAAAAAAATACTTCTCAGTCAAAATAAAAAGCTATAGCAGAATTTGAATAAACGGTTATTTGACATATTCATTTTACCAGGAGCCTTACCCTCCTGCCTCATCTTGATGTTGTCACTAACTTTAAGTTTGGTACCTGCTTTGTACCAGTGACAATCCACGTCATCATGTGAGATTTCACAAACAAATGAAGCACTCTCCTTCTCCGTCACCTCAATATCCTCCAGCTTCTTAACAATCTTGACATCTCTGGCTGCAGCAACAACGTTAAAAACACATTTTACTTCAACAGCTTCATGGATAGACCCTGACTGGTTAGATTAGTTTGTAACGTGATAAATACCTTGAACAATGAGCTTAGCAGAGGTGTTGTCATCAGTGGTGCGACAGATGTAGGTGCCTCCATCTTCAGGTGTGCACTTGTGGATAACTAAAGTCCGCTTACGGCCCAAAGAATGAATACCAAAGTTCTTCCCTGGCTTTAGCTCAACTTCACCCTGCAGATCCACTCAGAGTTAGAACGACACACATTTTAAATCTCATCATTTAAATTCGCTGACACTCACCTTGAACCATTTCACTTCTGCATTGGTTCTGGACACTTCACATTCAAAAATAACCTTCTCCTTCTCAGGAACATTGACGTCCATCATGGGTTTGGAGATCATAGCCCGAGGTTCTGAAAAATAAACACAATCTAGTCAAAATGTGACTATGATTGTCAGCAAAGTCTCTAATGGCCTTTTAACACTAGCAACTGCACAGCACGGTTTGACTTGGCTCAACTCTGTTTAGCACGGTTTGGATGGTTTTCTGTTACACTTCAGTAACAATTCTAGAGGGTGGGTTAATTGTAAAGTTGGTCGGTCCCAGAGTTTGAAAACTGACGCCACACRACTTACCAGCTGCTGGAGGTAAATGGAGGTTTTTAGTTTTTCTGTAAAGGGTTGTGCCTCCTCATGATGTCTTCATGAAGATGATCCTTGCTTTGTGCAGGGTCAGTGGCAGCATGAGTGCTTTGTACAATGACAATAAAGGTCTAATCTAAWCTAATCTTAATCTAATCTAATCCAATGCTCCAGTAAGCTATTTGCCAGCCACCATTAAAAGACAGTAGAAGACGACGATCCCAAAAAGATATGCAACACAGCAATGGAGGACATGGTAGCGTTGTTATTTCAAATGTCAGATAGGGTTGGTCTGAGAGTAGCTTTTGTGACGCAACTAGTGACTCCACCCCCTAACCAATCAATGACCGACAATCTTTTGACACYGTGTTTTCAGGCCAGCACAGTACACTTAGAACCACAGCAATGTACACTCTGAAAAAGGGGCTGGTTCCATGAATCCTTGCTAGTGGAAAAGTCTTGGAACTGCAGAGAGTCAAGTCTAGCTGTGCTGTAGAGGMACTAGTGGAAAAAGACCATAAGAGGTCTAACAAGGAGCAGACTATACCTGCTACAATCAGTTTGGCTGATGTATGAACTCCCTCTGCTTGGAAGGAAATCAATCCAGCATCTTCCTTCTTGAGATTGGACAGAGTCAGGTTGTGCTTCTTTCCCAGGGTTGTGACGCGACAGTTGGACCCAGACTTTAACTTGGCACCGTCTCTGTTCCACGAGCCTTCAACATCCGCCTGGCTGAGCTCTACCTCGAAGGTTACTGTTTCTGTTTCATATGCTTTGGTTTCTGTTAGTCCTTTCATGAGGTGAACCTTTTTCACTGAAAGGGGAGATAAAAAGTTTGAAATGAACATGCATGATTAAGGTGAAAATGCTGTGACGTAAATTTTAAAACAATCCAGATACACATCTGTAGCTGACTGGTATATCATGCACCATATTTTTTGAAGAGTGAGAAATAGTTTTTTGCCTTACTCTCAACAGTGAGCTTGGCCTGTGTTTTGTCTTCCAGAGTCTCGCATGTGTATATACCACGATCAGTATAAACTACTCTCTTGAAGATCAGAGACTGCTTTATTCCGTTGACTCGTATCTCTATGTTTCCTGCAGGCTGCAGCACTACTCCATTTTTCATCCATTTGACATCACTCGAAGCTTTACTAAGCTCCACTTCCAATTTCACCTCACTGTCCTCCTCAACGGTCAGGTTTTCCAACTTTTTCTTAAACATCACTGGTTCACCTGAAAAAAAAGTGTTATAAAAAATATGGAAGATTCAGAATTAGTATCAACGGAGCTTGTCCAGTGACGTTGGACAAATAAAAATTATCTTATTGCCTCAAAATAGTAAAAAATGGTCACAAGATAAATATGTTGAAAAGACTGAATAGAAGTGTCAAAGTTAAAACAAGCTTCTTCCCCTTCTTTCAGCTGTTTCTCTTCAAGAGACTTCACAGTCATCCTCCACCATCTGACTCTGTCCTGTCACTGGATAAGCACTATAAGTATCACAGATATTTTAAAAAAATTCTTACGTTGAACCTGCAGAGTAGCCTTGCAGCTTTTGCCTTCTGCATCCACACTTATCTCTCCTGCATCTTTCTGTGTGACGGAGGTGAYGGTAAGTGAGAAACTTCCACCGCCATGCTCAGTTTTGTACTTGGGTCCAGCAGTGATGGGGATACTGTTGTGGAACCACTTTACACTGACATCTGCTGGGGTGACGGCACACTTGAAAATGGCGTCTTTGCCTTCAGTTGCAGCTACATTGTTTAGTTTGGTGGTCAACCGTACGAGTCTTGGTGCTGAAAGATATAGTGTTCTTATTTAAGTAAGCCTAAAGTATTGTTTCTGTATTATTATTTTCAATTAGTCCCTCACCTTTTGAGGTTACTTTAGCAGAAGTCTTGTCATTTTTGCACACACAGCTGTAGTTTCCTTCATCTTCCTTCGTCACGCCCGTTACGGTAAGAACACGCTTAGCACCATCTGCTTTGACACAGTGCCTGCTTCCAGGTTTAATCTCACAGCCGTCATGTTGCCAGACGACATCTCCTGAGGCCTGATTTAGCTCACAAATCAGGGAAAGTATGCCTCCCAGCTCCACGGAGGCAGATTTCAAAGGAACAACAAACTTCAAAGCTGATTCTGAAACGACAAAATGAGTTTCACATCAAAACAAAATCTAACTTTTATACAACTTTATGCAAAAAAAGGTTTAATTGGCTTTTCATTATTACCTTTAACTTGAACTTTGAACTCCATTTTGTCATCAGGTGTTTGACAGGAATATGTTCCACTGTCTTTGGTCTCTGCAGATTTCACAGTCAGAGTATGAGAAAAACCATCTTTTTTCATTTCATACTTGCTGCTCTCCTTCAGCTCCAAGCCATTTCTCAACCACTTGACATTCACACTCTCTGTGGTCAGCTCAGCGGCTAAAACAATGTTTTCACTTTCTTCAACAATAAATGCCTCATTGACAGACTTCTTCTTGAACTTGACGGCTACATCTACAGAGATGGATTATTTTTACTGCTTTGTGCAATAAAAACACAAAATAAAATAAAATAAAAATCCACCAGAAATATTAAAGATGTTGGGATTAAATTTTACCTGTCGACTGCTGTTTTAAGGCCGTTTTCTCACTTCCAACTTCTGCAGCCCCCTTTTTCTCCGTTTTCTCTACCACCACTTCACGAGTCTTGCTAATTGACTCGGCTTGGGCTGCTTTGCTGGAAGTCAGAGGTTTCCCATCTTTGTACGATGTCACCTCAGTTTTGGAATCAAAAACCTCAGAACTCAGAGTGGCTTTCTGAGAGATAGAAGGTTTCCCTTCTTTCTGGACTGACTCTGTGTTAGAGAGTCCAGAGGGAGGTTCTGAAAAGGCAGATTTAAAAAAGGACGTTTCGGTAAATCATAAAACAGAGCAATGGCAAAGTGAAGATACACTGCTAACACTGTAGACACACAGCAGTTTCAGTGTTGACTGTAGCAAATAAAAGCACTGTCTTTTCCATACCTTCCACCTTTAACCTAAAAGCCAGCTTCTCAGATCCAGCCTCACAAGTGTACTCCCCAGCATCTTTCCTCTCAACACTCTCTATCAGCAGCTGGCGGCTCTTGCCCTTTGACTCCATACGCATTGCCTTGCTTGATGTCACCAGTTTGCCATCCTTGTACCATTTCACCTCTGTCTTGGAATCAGCAACCTCACAGGTCAGGATGGCTTTCTGACTCATATGGGCTTTAATGTCTTTTTGGACAGACTCTTTGTTGTGAAAAGCTGACTTGAGTTGGATCTCTGCAGAGGCGAGGAAAGGAAAGGTGAGGAAAATATTTCACCATTGCAGTTTTCCTAAAATGTGTTTAAAAAGCAGTGTAGTTGATTTTTTTTAATCTTTAAATTTTTCTGGTATCTTACAACCATCAAACATCAAATGTCCTTAATGGACCTACCAGTGAGAGTACAGTGTTTACCTTCAACRTGTAACTTAAAGGTCAGCTTCTCAGACCCAGCCTCACACATGTATTCCCCGGCGTCTTTCCTCTCAACACTCTCTATCACCAGCTGGCGGCTCTTGCCCTTAGATTCAGCGTGGATTGTTTTACTGGATGTCAGAAGCTTGCCATCCTTGTACCATTTCACGCCTGTTTTGACATCAGCCACCTCGCAGCTCAGAGTAGCTTTCTGCGATAGTGAGGCTTTGACCTCCTTTTGAACAGACTCCTTTTTGAAGAAGGCAGACTGGATGTGTGCGTCTGTGGACACATGAATAAATGAGAAATGATGTTTTGCAGTTTCAATTAAGTGTACTATTCAAGAGGAATGAAAAGAAAAGCAGATCAGTTTACCGTATTTATTCGTGTACCTATAATACGATCTCATGTATAATATGACCACCCCCCCCTTTTTTGAGCTTAAAAAGCATAAAAATTTCATCCTCAAACTACCTCCAATTTCATACAGACTTCAAGATTTTTCAGCCTTTGCAGTCTTTATACATATCAGTAAAATGATCATTGGACTGTTCATTTAATTTTAACAACATATGTACTAAAATGTATTTTGACAACAAATACAGTATATATCAGCTGTAGCGGCATCATATGAATTCTGGCATTTTACACATAGTCCACCAGGAGGCCCCAACACAAAAGTCAGAGACTTCATGTGAGATTTGGGCCATCTTGTGGGGGAAAAGCAGATTACTTCCTACTCGCGAGCGCCC